TCCCTGGTACCAAAAAAAAAAAATTAATTTCAGAGACCATGATATGGGAATAAAATGATAAATGGTAACATTTTTCTCCATTACTGAAGACCCAACCCACCTCAAGAAATGCTTTAAGGTGTACATCACAGCTTTCAAAAGGGCAAGCGGCCCAGAGTCTGGTTTTTCTGCCCAGACGCAAAGCTGCCATATGTGACCAGGGCCTGCCCCTCCCTGCCCCTCGCTCCTCGCCCACCCTTTGAGGAAAGCCCTGGCTCTCCCTGGAGTAGCTACTGCTGCCGTGACTCCCGAGTTCAGGGTAATCCAACTATAAAGTATTTTCTTTCTTTTGGAATCAATTTATTGATAGGATTTGTGTGTGTATATGTTATTTTTTTGAGACAGGGTCTCACTACGTAGTTCAGGCTGGCCTCAAACTCACTGTATAGTCCAGGCTGGCTTGCATGCAGTGATCCTCCTGCCTCAGCCTCCCGAGTGCTGGGATTAAGCCCAATATTCAGTGCTATTCATTCAGTGGGGCCCTCTCTACTATAAACAAGGACAAAGTGGGGTCACGTGTAGCAGAGATGCACCTCGACACCAAAATGTCAAATGAAACAGGTCTGGTTTCAGAAGAGGCTTGCATTTGGGGAGCGGAACTGCATCTTTTCCATTTTTGTTTGTTTCACAGTCAAATGTAGGGAGGGATTCTCCTGCTCCGTTTTCCTTCAAGGAAACATCCTGACAACGCAGGCAGGCTCTCATACCCCCCACCTCACCCCCATTTGTGAGGCTTCAGCGCTACTTCCTGGTCTCTAGTATTAAGCACAGGCTGTCATTCGCATTCTCTTATGAAATTCTACAAATACAAAGACCAGCGCCCCCAGGAAGGTGCTGGCGGCCATGCGGAGCTCGGACCCCTGGCCCTGGCCACGGGCTGTGAGGGGCTCAGAGAGGGACAGTGCGACCAGGACAGGGACTCGTTGGAGGAGCAGGCTCCTCTGCTGGGCCGCAAACCCTGCATTGTAACGCTCGTCCTCTCGGATGCTTCTGCACAGTTAGCAGGAGAATGGAGCTACACTGCATTATCAGCACTCGACACTAAACCACCAAGCTGCTACCTGCAGCCAAGCTCTGCCCAAGGTCCCCAGAAGAGAAATCTGAGGCCTGCGGAACCAAACTCAGTTTCCTTAAGGCTCTGCCATGTGAAATGGCGCAGTCTGCTGTGCTGTTTCCAGTGTCTGCTGGGGCTCAGAACAGCAGCTGATCCTCTCCCAGAAGCAGAGTCATTCTCACCTGCAGCCTGCGCTGTTGCTCTGAAACCTCGAACTCCTGACTTTCTTGGGCCTGGCATGCTGACCTGCCTCTCCTCCTGGTCTGTGGTGAAGACACCCAGCCCACTGGCACAGTGGGGCACCTGGAGACAGGGCACTTGTCTATGCTCACACCTTAGAAGGGTGACACCACTGATACCTCCAGTAGGGCCTTTTCCTGCTCCATCTCCAGGAAGTGATCCCTGCACCTCCCCACGCACGGAGGCTGGCAGGACACTGGGCGAGGTATCTTGACTCTAAGAGGTTTGTACTTTCCCCCTGCCATGACCTCCATCTGGATGTCCTGTAGCTTCCAGTCTGTCCTTTCCCTAAAAGACACGGCAAACTCCCTGGACAGGATGGTGCTCTACCCGCACCGTGGCCCTGTGGCATCAGCCCTTGGCATTTTGACGGTGCCGTGGGAGTGATGCAGAGCTCTCCCAGCTCTGGACTAGCCCCACCCCGCTCATTGAGGCCTTCACGCTCTTGCTAGAGTTCAAGCACCATTCTCAGACTGCTTGCTTTTTGCAGTAACGGGTTAGCACTCAGGGCCCTTGCCTTGAGCTACGTCCACAGGCTCTTCTCTTCTTTCTTTTCAGACTGGATCTTGTTAAATTCTAAGTTGCCCCAGCCCGGCTGGAACTTGTGCTCCTGCTGCTCAGCCTCTCCGAGTGCCAGCATTACAGGCGTGTGCCATCGCACTTGGCTGGCATCTCCATCTTAACTGCTGCTTCTACTTCAAGTCTCTGCATCCTCTGCTTGGTGTCAAATCTGACCGTGAACTACGGGAGCAAACATTCAGAGGCCCTGATGAGCAGAGAAAACCCCCGGGCTGCTGGGGGCTGACGGCTTCCCCCACGCTGGGTTGCACTGAGGGCAGCGTAATGATAGCAAGGCGAACACAGAATCTCAGAACATCTAACCTGAACATCTCCTATCCCAAGGCCAAAGAACCAATGAGGAACATTAAATGTTTTAAAACTTACCGGTGATGCTGTTGTGCTCTGGGCAGTAAAACGGTAAATGTGAACAGAGCAAAAGCCCCACCCTGGAGAGACCAGCTGGCCAGCGCAAAGCCGCACCACTCCACGACTTCCCCAAGGTAGTTGGCGGCAGTAACGTATTCAAACAAGCCTCCTAGAGGAAGACAGAGCAAAGCGCACTTACTACGGGACCATGCCCGGCGGAGTCCCGACCTGACCACGTCAGGAGATACCACTGCTCGCAGCAGAAACGTAACATACCTGTGTGACATGCAGTGGCACATGTCCCTGGGGCCATCTACAGGGACCGTGTCAAACACGTGAGGCCGTGCTCCCTCCCAGCCCTGACTCTGGGTCACCCTCACTCCCGCTTCTGCAGCCACCCGTTTCCTAAGTCTGTCTTCTCTCACCAGCATCTGGGCAGCCAAATCCAGGGTAAGGGAGGGCTGTGCACCCTCCTGTAAAGGCCAATGTCACCCCCGGGCCAGGGCCGGAGTGGGGAAGGATGGGATACCTCTGCTGGCACCATCAGGGACCTTGTCCCCCATGCCCAGTGTGGAAGGACACATCTGGTCAGGGGCTGGGGAGTACTGAGCTGAGAAAACCCACAGACGCCACCCTGTTGAGTGTGTCCCCTTAGTACTTAGTGCCCTAAGGGCACCACCTGACGGGACAGTGGGCTGTGGCTGGCACACATGGACGCAGAACCTGTCCTCCACCTGTGCAAGTGCCTCGTCCGGACTTGTGTGTGCTGCCCCTTATCTCTGCACCCATCTGTCACTCCTCCTCTATGGGTTTTGTAACTTCATCCCTGTGGCCTTGAATGATGACACCACACCCATGTTCAGAGTTCTACCAGGGATCCCGAAGAACTGCACAGTCGCTGGGCTTCACAGAAACAACTGTGCTAGACAGCACGCTGTCACACGGAAAAGCCTCCTGAAATTCGGAGCAGGCAGGTTGGTGGTCAGCTCCAAAGCCCACACAGCAGAGCCCTCCAGAGCAGAGACCACAATGCTGGGCCCCAGGGTCCTAAACACCACCAGCTGCATCTACACGAGGGACAGCGGGACTCGAGCAAGGTGTGGGCCACCTCCAGAATCTGAGGAGCCTCCCGCCAGCCACCCTCAGCCTGAGGACCTGTGTGACTGCGGCCAATTTCCCCCCTGGTATAAGTAGACAGTGATGGCGAACCTTTCAGCGCTTTCAATGGTAAAAAATAGCCTGCTGCAGCATGAGTGCCACAGGCTCACCACCACTGGTATGTACAGGGTGTGCTCTTCTCAAAGCTGGACTTGCGTCTAGGCTGGCTTTACAAAACCTTTCCTGCACTACCTTTTGTTTTAGGCAGCATCTCCCTATGCAGTTCAGGCTGTCCTTGAACTATGTAGCATAGGCTGGCCTCAAACTTGCAGTGATTCTCCTGCCGCAGCCTTGCAAGTGCTGGAAGAGCAGGTGTGCACCACCATGCCAGGCATGCACTATGTTTTGAAACCTGTGCTGTTCCAGGGCCTTAAGATTTCATGCTCACAGTTCCCATGTGCACACAGCAGCCCTCTCTTCCCTTCCCTCCCTGCAAAAATCCAGGCCTCACTTCCTTAGTTTTGTCCTTTCTGTGGTATCTGGATTTTGCTGCCATTCTTTCTGTGCTGTCTAATTTAAGGATCAGAAATAGCATTTTAGCAGCAGCTTCTCCCCCAAGTTATGGTTCCCCAGCTTGTCTTCCCCCATTGTCGGGTCGTCTCCTGCCGGACTCTGTGCTTCTGCTCCATCTGGGTCCAGAGCTGCTGCAGATGCCCCCCCAGTCAGGGCCAGTGGGGCAGCCAGGCACGGAGGCTGCAGGGGTGGAGGTGCTTCTTGCCAGAGCGCTCTGGTGCCCACGCTGCGGTGTTTCACTCACACATAAAACCATGGGGCAAGATCTGGCTTCAACTTTCTCCTGCTTTGTGAAATGCATTTCTGTTCAGACAGGCCTTGCTGCTGTCTTCCTCCGTAATATTTCTACAATGGTGCTGTACAAACAACTTCCTTGTTCTCTTGATTTGAACACGCTGGGGTAGAACACAGAGCAGCGGCCGGCAGCAGGAGGTGGAGGGAAAGGTCCGAGACATCCCGGTGGCTCCTCTGCAGCTGAGTGGTCGGGGTGGCCTCCCCGGGGATCCTCCCCTCTGTGACAGACTGTCACTCACATCCACCACTACTGTGTCTCTGGGCTCTTCCAGCATTCCCTCCTCTGGCCATCGGGGCTCCTGCCCTGCCCCGTCTCATGTAGTTCTCGGCAGCAGTTCTGGGGAGCAGCGCTGCCCAGGGACCTGATCAGATACCCCCGGGCAGGGATGAGGGGCACTGGGTCCCCTCCAAAGGACACAGGCTACAGCCCGGCCCACTGGGAGAGGGTCCTTACTCCCATCAGGTGGGCAGGGCCCAGCCAGCAGCAGCCCACCTGGGCGCCCAGAGTTCCCTTCTCCACGTCTGCACCCTGGCTTCCGGAGGTCCTCTGGACTGCGGGCTCCGAGGGCCACAGTTTAATCTGATCATTTGCTTGCTTTTGTTGTTAAAAGCTACATTGTGCACTTTCTCTATTAGCGCTGATTTGCTTTGTATCTGCTTAGTCTTTATCATACTTTACTTCTGTACTCCTACCTGCCACGCCCCCTTCTTAGATCATTGGGAATGCTCCCTTTATAACTGGCTTCTATTAACTCCAAGATCTGAAATCCTTTGCTTCATTTAGACTCTTCCCACGGTGCCCATCTCCTTGTGAACACCGCAGCTTCTGTGCCTCCTACACTGAGTGATGAAACAAGATCTACGAGTTTTGCGAGCCCCCAAGTGGAAGGCAGGTGCCTCTTGGGGCGGGCCTCCTGCTACCTGGGCGTGGGAACACAGCCCACTCCCACCCAGGACAACCTGGGATTAATGCAAGCACTGTGGATCTTCAAACCAGCCCCGGGCTGGGACTGTAGCCTCAATGGGGTGACCACCCATGACACATTCTCGCTTACTCTTCTGGGTTCCAGCACTCAGATTTGATCTTCCAGTGATGACTTCCTCTCTCGACAGTGGATCGACACTTTTAGGGCTGTGAAGTAGACTTCCCAGAAGGTCTGTCAAGGAGTCAATTCCATCACACCGTGGGAAGCACAAGGATCAGACCCCAGGGAGCCGCAAGTTCCTCCTCATCCTATTGCTTCCTGACTATTCTGTACTCAGAATCAGCTTCATTTTTCTGAAAAGAAATGAATCACAGAGGCGATTCACCCTGGAAACATGCAGCCAATGAACCTGGCACCGAGGTGTTAGGGCACCAAGGCTCACACAGCAGCAGGGCACACACAGTGAGACTGAGACACAGCCCCTCTTGGACGCACCCCTTGGTACTTTGTATTCTGTCTCCTCTGGTTTACGGAGGGTCCTCAAGACGTGATCTGAGTGGATGTTTATCAGCAGGCCCATTAACCACAAGGCAAAGCCTAAGAGGAAAAAGATGAAATTACTACGGTGAAGGACCACGAGGTTCCAGAATCCCGAGGACGGAATAGGTGCCCAGTCTTTCTGATCACCCTCATCCAATGGCCGGAAGCCTTGGGCACAGGTGCTGTCTGTGTGAGGAGCCGGCCCAGGGTGTACCTGACCTCTTTTCCTCACCAAGGCTGCACAGGGCAGTCCTACCACTCCCCTCCCGGATGAGGACAGGTGAAGAGTGCACACGGCTTCTCTAACCTGGTCTGGACCTCTTTCCCCTTTCCTACAACCTCCTCTGAAGCATTTAGCGTACTGTCCCCGGCTTCCCCACCACTGAGTTCCTGCTGTGTCACCCACCTGCAATCCTGGGCCACTCCGCTCCCAGCTACCAAAAGACACGGCAAAATGGCAAAACCTTCTAGAAAAGCAGTAACTCTGTTTTTAAAGAGGCTGACTTGACTTTCTGATACGTTCAAGTGCAAAAGGCTGGCGGTCCTGAAGAAATGTGCACCGGGATGGCATCCTGTCCTTCTGCTCAGCCTGGCAAAGCATAACACTCTTGCAGTTAGACAGAACAAGGAAAGCCTTGCCGCCTACAGAAAGGGTTTCCAGAGTTGCTCCTCTGGATTTTGCCACTCTAAGCAGCTTTCTTTCCCAAGCAGTTTATGCTAAATGTTGAAATACTTTTTATAAGTCACTTACTGGACTTTTAAGTTTGTGCTAGATTCACTACCTATTTTTTGGATTTCAGTAAGTCACTCCTTGGTGATCTGGCTTCCAATCCAAGATCCCAGAAAGAATCATGCTAAATTCCGGGCTTGCTTTGTATCTGTAGTGCTCCTTGTCGAACAGTTTAGAAGAAAACTAGTCTTCGTGAGAAGAGTGCCGGCGGCCCCTCCTCCTCACCCTCCCAAGGGCTGGACCCTCACACCTGCCCCAGGGGCCCCACCTCATCCGGAGCCCTGGAGCCCACCTGGGATGGGAACCCCCCATCCTGGACTTCCTGACGCCCATCTCCAACCTGCACTCCTCCCCCAGCAGCTCGGGGTTCAACAGCGGGGAGGGGAAGGTGGGGACCCCGGGGCTATGCCTCCATGCAGCATGGAATGAGGCCATCTAGCAGCAGCTGCCCAGGAGCAAATCCCATGGGGTCCAGGGGAGGGATGGCACACACCAGGCGGCCCTGCCCTTTGCTGGCATGCTCAAGGCCTTGCTTCTGGCCCGGGAGGTGAAACTTCCACCAGGATGGAAATCACAACTGCTGAGTAGCTGATGGGAGTATTTCTGGGATTACGTGCTGGATACAAAGCCCAAAGAATTCTCAGCAACTCAGCGATTAAATTATGAACAGAACACGAGCGACGCCATGGCGATTCGAAACAAACGGCCACCGGGCCTGGATGGCGTTGAGCACTGGAGCGGGCAGCACTCCACCTGCTCCACTCCTGTGCAGCGGGGTGGCCGGTGGAGCCTCATACTGCGTGGGCTGCGGGGAGCTGAAGCCACTTGCGGAAGCAGCCGGACAGCAGCCAGCTGGTCAGGGACGGCCAAGCAGTTTCTGAACACTACAGCCCAGCTGAGCACCCCACACAGCAGGCGAGGTGACTAACCGCCCCCGGTCAGGGAGAACTGTGCTTTCGAAACAGCTGTCTCAGCACCAGGACCAAACGCAAGGGTCACCTGCATCGGCTGGTGACAGACCAGGGCCTTCTGATGGAGAGCGAGCTGGCCAGGAAGCCTACACCAGGTAGACGGTGACAGAAATGTCCTTGAGTCTGTCTCACCCGAGGCCTCCTCCAGCCTCGGAAACCGTACAGAGGGCAGCAGGTCAGGACTGTCTTCTAGCACTGTCTCTGCAGAATCAAGACCGACTGGGAGCAGAGCCCGGAAGGAAGCAGTGACTGGAGACAGCAGTGGCACTCCAGAGGAGAGACAGACGAGCTTCTCCATCCCACCAGGAGAGAGCAAGCAGGGGGAAGGAAGGAGAGGAGCCCGGGGGAAAAAGACACAGACCAGGAGAAAAGCAGCTGTGTCATTTTGTAACAAGTACTGGATTCTGATGGGACCTCCTGCAGAGTGTCCTGAGAAACAAAGCCAAAAGAGGTGGGGAAGAACCACCTCAACGCCGCTGTGCCCCATTCCCAATGCATTCTGCTCCTGTTTTGTTCCAGCAGAAAGGGTGCTACCGTTACAATCAGACTTTTTAAGTCACACAACACTTTACGAGTGGGAGTTTCATGTTACAGGGTGGAAATGCTGTGTGTTGTCACTCATGAGAAATAGAAAGAAAATCACACCAAATTTTGTGTCCCAGAGACATTCGCAACTCCCATCAGTTAGTAAGCTATTTTATCTTCTATTCTAACAATAAAGAGGTGATTAATTTAGTCAGATTCCTTCCTGAAATTTAAATACTAGCAGTTTCTGAAATTTTTATAATGTTAAAATTATTATCTAATCCACAAGAAACCAGGGTTTAATATAGCGATTAAGAACAAAAAAGATAAGAGCTGGGGATTTAGCTCAGTGGCACTGCACCTGCCTCACAAAAGCAAAGTCCTGAGTTTGATCCCTGATTAAAAAAAAAAAAAAAAAAAGACAATAAATAATCCTTAACTGTACATTGGATTAGTTCAGCCCTTGAACACCTTTACCTTTCTTTAGTAATATACATTTTAGACATTATCTTGAGAACTGGAAATGTTGCTTCGATTCCTTTTAGACAGGAAAAATAAAGCTTGCATTTCTTTTCCAAGTACACAAACTTACATAACACCAGTATTTCCAAACTATCCACATGAGGTCTTAGTGACTTTGTAGTGTTGTGAAAATTTGAGGAATCCTGAAATCTTCTAGGTCAGCTGAATTCTAATGACTGTTAATTACGTGGGGAATGAGCTCAGGAGGAAACCACAGTGGACAAGAGGACTTGAACGTCTGTGGGGGGGAAAGCAGAGAGGTAGGTGTCTACCTTTTTCTACAATTACCTTTGAATCCTTAAATTTCAAATCATGTTTACTGCTAGAATATTAAGTATACTTACTAAAGCCAACAAAAAAGCACAGTGTTAAGAAAGTTGGAGATGATCTCAGAGTGCAGTGAAAGACAATAAAGATATGAAAGTAGATGAGAGTTTGGAAGAATTTATGTGAAAGCAATCAGATTTTTTAACTTCTGAAAAGCAAATAAATCTAAAGCATTTTATAGTGTTTATAGGATTCAGAAAGAATATTTAACTCTATTATGATGCAACACATTTTTGTATATCCTAAACAGTTTTGGAAACTACCCTTAATAGTCCTTTTTATATATTTTATATTTAAAATTTGTTTTAGTCATTTTGAAAAGACTTGCTGCTCTCATTTTAGAAAAAAATATGGTCTAGCTTTCTTTAAGCTACGTCCTTAACCTTCTCACTTAGGAGTCTGTGTTTAAAAAGTAAGGTTTTACTTACAGCAGGAATTACTCTTACGGAAAAAACACCTATGGCCAAGCTGTGTCTTTTATACCCTCTGTGTTGCATGTCTGTTTATGTTACATAGTTGTTATTTCTTCAAATTTCCTGTGCTAGCATGAAAAATCACCAGAGTTCCTGTCTGGGTATTAAGTGAGGCACTAACTGTTGGATGAGTCTCTTATTACAGCCAGAGTCCCTGTGGGTAAGACTGCTGTGCAACGCCTGCTCCTGCAGTGACCTCCCCCCAGGGTTATGCTCCTCTCCAAGGCACAGTCATTTCTGGGACAAACGGCTTCAGGCTTGTTCCTGCCATAACAAGTAGCAGTACCACCACGTTACATCTCTATAACAAGCATAACACACCTGGAATAAAGCTCATCTGAGGTATATTTTTCCCCAGAATTATATTCTTAGCTATTTGGCCCTTTAGAATATATGTGAAATTATTCTTTTGCTATTTTCTATCTTTTTTTATTTATTCCGAATAGAATACTCCCATTCTGCATACCCTCTAGAAAGAGGAGGAAAAACAAAAACAAAGAAACTCAAAACCAGCAGAGCTGCTATCAGAAAAGTAGATGTCAATGTACAGGTATGAGAAAAAAACTTTAAAAATGCATTGTTAATTCGGTCTTTTTCTATGTAATTCCAAGGCAGACATTATTAAATTCCTAGAATTCAATTTGATATACCAAGAATAAGAATGATGTTTGCTTTGCTTATTGTGGGGGAAAATTAAATATGCAATTCTATTAAAACAAACTTATTTCTCAGAGATACTGCTTTTTCTGTGAAGGTTAAGAAAAAAAAAAAAAGATGAAGCCAGGGATTTAGCTCAGTGGTTCTGCTGCCTGCCTTACAAACACAAGGTCCCCAGTTCAATCTCCTGTATCAAAAAAAAAAAAAAAAACATGAACATTTAATCCATTTGTAGGGAACTTAAAATCTGGGTAGAAATCTAGGAATCCTGTCAGAGTCAAGAAGGAGTCATGCGGGATGAGCCCTGTCAGAAGCAGCCATGACTAAGTAAGGGTGGAGACCATAAGGAAGGGCTGCCGTGCTTGCGTGACTGAAGAGAAAATTCCCACAAGACCCCATTGGAACCATGATATTACACAAGGCCACCTTGAACTTACAAACACTTCTGCATGGACGCTACATACAGTTGCTAACTCTGGGCTAAAAACATCTTTGTTACTGAGCCTCGTAGCCAAGTATGATTACCGCAAAATACCTTGTGTAATCTTCCTGTTTTGTTCTTAACAATATCCCCTTCCCTCAATCATCTTAACTACACTCATGGTTTGTGATGGCAGAAATAAATAAAAGGAATAAAAAAATGAAAGGAACAAAGATAGGAAAGAAATTAAATTGTCATTATTTGCAGACAACATCATATTCTATAAAGAACCCAAAAACTCTACCACAGGTCTTCCAGTCTTAATAACCAAATTCAGTAGAGTAGCTGGATACAAGGTAAATACTCAAAAATCAATAGCCTTTCTGTACACAAACAACAGGCTCACTGATAGAGAAAGTTGAGAAACAACTCCTTTCACAATAGCATCCAAAAAAAAAAAAAAAAAAAAAACAACCTAGGAATCAATGTAATGAAGGAAGTAAAAGACATCTACTCTGAAAACTATAACACTCTGAAAAAAGAGATGAAGAAGATATCAGAAAATGGAAAGACATCCCCTGTTCTTGGCTAGGAAGAACCAATATAGTGAAAATGGCCACACTTCCAAAACTGCTATATAGATTCAATGAAATCCCAACTGAAAATCCAACAGCATATTTCACAGAACTTGAGGAAACAATCCAAAAATTGATTAGGAACCAGAAGAGACCTAGAATAACAAAAGCAATTGTAGGCCACAGAGACAAGGCAGAAGGTACCGCAATCCCCAACTTGAAACTATACTACAAAGCTACTGTGATAAAAACAGCATGGTACTGGCAAAGAAACAGACCTGAGGATCAATGGAACAGAATAGAAGATGCAGAAACAAATTCAGACATACTCAACCACCTTATCTTTGACAAAGAAGCCAAACACCCTCACTGGGGGGAAGATAGCCTTTTTAATAAATAGTGCTAGAAAAACTGGATTTCAACTTATGAAAGATTAAAACTGGAGCCAGTTCTTTCACCATGCAGTAAATTAAAGTCTAAATGGATCAAATATCTAAATATTAAAACAGAAATACTAAAGCTACTTGAAGATAGGTTAGGTAGAACTCTTAAAGACACTGGCATAGGAAAAGACTTTATGAACAAAACCTCAGTTGCGCAGGAACTAACACAAAGAATAAACAACTGGGACCTCATCTTATTAAAAAGCTTCTGTACATTAGCTCAGAGGTTCTACCAGCTGCTTCACAAGTGCAAGGACCTGAGTTCAATCCCTGATACAAAAAAAAAAAGCTTTTCACGGCAAGAAAAACTATCAACAGCATGAAGACACAATCCACAATGTGGGAAAAAATTTTTACCAGTTGTTATTCAGACAAAATCAGACCCCCCCCAAATTTAAAGACCCAATCTAAATCTGGGCATCTGAAATGAAGTCGAAGTAGAAGAGCAAATAAATGTGAAAAAATGTTCCACATCACCGGTCACTGGAGAGATGCAGATGAAAACATCACTGAGATTCTACCTCACCCAGAAAGAATGGCTGCTATCAAGAAATCAACCAATAACAAATGCTGATGGGGGTATGGGGAAAAGGCACCCTTCTCCACTGTTGGTGGCAGTGCAAACTGTTGCTACCATCGTGGAAATCAATATGGAGCTACCTCAAAGAAATAGGATTAAAGGTTCCATTTGACCCAGCCATCCCTCTGCTGGGTATCTTCCCAAAAGAATTAAAAGCATCATATCACAGTGATATATGCATACCCATGTTTATAGCGGCACAGTTGGTAATAGCTAAATCTTGGAAACAACCCAAATGTCCATCAAATGGTGACTGTACAAAGATGTGGTTTTAAAAAATAAAAAGTACTACTCAACCATAAAGATGATAAACTAGACATTTACAGCTAAATTGATGCACCTTGCGGCCATAATGAAATAAATAGGACACACGTGTAAATCCCAAATTGTTTTTCTGGTGTGAGAAACTGAAAGTGTAAATGAGGACAAAAACAGATAATTGACGAGGTGAAATCAGGAAGAAAAGTTTCAAAGAGGAAAGGGAACTAAGGAGGGGTGGGGGGAAGGAAAGAGGGGAAAGGCAAAGATGAGAAAAGGAGGAAAACACGGAAACAAAGTTTCTGTAAGTAAGGAGAGGTGGAGGGG